GGAATATTGCAACATAAAGTATTGTGATACTAGTAAGAGTTCTTTTTTAATGTCAGCCTATCGTGACTAATGGGAACGCATTCGATTTTGAAGGTTATATAAAAAAAAACAAAATAATTGCCGTATAAGAGATTTATTTCGCCGTATAATTATTTCGCCCCCGCCTAAATGGTTCAAAATTACAATAATATAGTATTTTATGCACAATTCAGCAAATAAATACGTTTATAAAGCTAAATTGTAAAATATGTACACATTTTTCAAAGTGCAGTAATACAATTGTGGCAGCATGATATTAAAGCTAAAAAAAGAAACTAAAATTCATCAACTTAAGACGCATATATAACTTAAAAGTATATGCAGATTATTCGCAACAGATAAAATAAGTATTATACATATATTTTAAACTATTAGCCATATGTAAGATACGAAATTACATCATATATCCCTTATCATATTAAAGTAAAAAAACACACTCGTAAGAATGAGACCTCGTAATTTATATCATCACTGCGGTATCCTTTTAAGTAATCTTTTAGCAATTTGTTATATAAGTATTTTCACCCTATATTCTTTCTATAGTTTTTTTTTGTGTGCGTTTTGTATTTTTCATTATTTACTTTAAGAGTTCCAATTTTTACATGGTTTTTTTTTTTGTGTACAGTATAAAATAAAAATAATTGAATGAAATTATTTAAAATCTTTGTTTATCAAAAGATTACTGAAATCAAAACTAACTTACAGAACTTTGTCAATGAAAGCACCGTATAATATTATCAGAGCCAATAAGTTTCCAAATGTAAGGGAAACCCGGTTGTTAATTTGTCAGATAGCATGATGACTCATGTACCAAATTGAAGGTCAGTTGACAAGGTTGCCAACTGTGCCAAAATTGGTGAAAGCTCAAATGTTACATCACCCTAAAAAATTAAACGTTTTTTAAAAATGAAAAGTTAAAATTTCAAGTTTTTCGAAATTTAAAGTTATGTTATTCCGATATTTGAACAGATTATAGCTAATATAGATGTTAATGAGGAAAGCCCTTATTCTAAGGCTTTCAAATCCAATTCCATAATGCGGCTGTCTTACACAGGCACGGAGTTATACTTAAAATTTTAAAAAGTAGAAAAATCAGTCGAGATTGACTTAAATCCTTTGTAACTGCGAACGTGCTGAGCTGTAAACATCGTTTCCATACAAAAGTTTTGTCTGTTGTAGGAGCTAAAGATGAACAATTACATTATTTTACACTTTATTTCAATTAACAACAAAAAAGGCTGTGATTTTGCGTCTTATACAATCTGACATTTTTTTTCCCCGAATTCGCGAGGAGAAAATTACAATTCGATACAAAATTACAATCCATTCGTCTCCGTTTTCGTTACGAGGTTAATGAAGCGTATTCTCACTATTTAGAGAATATGATTATATCCCATTTATCTTAAATTATCTCATTTTAATATCCCGGCCTATTTGCAAACTTGGCTGTATATCAAATACGATACGACAACGAGATATAATTGCTGAATTACATAAGCATTTAGTATTCCAAAATGCAGTAATGCGATACCGACATAAAATTCAACAATCCACATTTATAATCTGAGTTTTGTATTAATAACTTATTACTATATTTTGGTAATTAAGGTATGATTGTAAATTTAAAGACATGGAGGTAATTAACGCAATACACGCTGAATTGTAGTAAAAAAAAGTATATTTTAGTATTTTGCTATGCGTTTTATTATGCGGTGAGTGTTTTCTGTTTGTTTAATATTATATATTTGCAATTTCATTACATACTGTATTATTGAATTGTTGTTTTTTAAGATTTTAAGGAAATTGTATAAACCATATTAAACTTTATTAATATATTATAATGTATATATATATATATATATATATATATATATATGTAAATAGAAAACTAGAGAAGAATAGGCACATAAATATCGGATTTTGAATAGTACTTTGTCCCCTTTTTTGTATTCTTTATTTTTACGGTATTGTAAGTATAATACACGCAGCATGTGTATAAAAAAATGTAAAGCAATAAGTATGGGTATGTTTTTTTTATTTTTTTATGTTTTGTGAACATTTGATGATAATGATAACAATTCATATGATTATATGTTAAATAGTATAAAATACATAATGACAATGATATGACGATGACGACTATGACGACGGACGGTGATGATGATATAGTTAAGTTAAACCCCTACAATTAAATAATAAATAGCGGAACAATTATTTGTAACCGTTCCCTTTTTCTTATTTCGTTAATAATTGAAGGGTCCTGTTCTTTTTTTTGTTTTTTTTTTTATTCCACTATAATTTTAGGATATTTTGTTTATTTTTATTATTGTTATCATTTTCTTATAACTCAAACAACAGTTATATACGAATATTGGATAATGTATATGAGTATATTATTAATGTACATAATTACTTATGTCATTTGAAATCAAAACCTTTAACATTTTATTGATTATATTATGACATTTTTATGTTATATTTGGAAAAAATTGTTTTTAGTTTACTGCTAAATTGTCCCGTTAGATGGCACGTGAGTGTATATGAAAAGAAGAACAAGAGAAAGGAGTGATTATTGAGGAGATGAAAGATCGCATTAGATATAAAATTGATAAAAACATTTAATATGTCTTTATAGCACACAGACGAGTGGTATGTAATACTCAACTTCATAATTAAATGTTCATATAGTTATTCGAAATTTAAATAAACATAATAAAATGTGTAAATACATAGCTCATATAATAGAAAACGCTTCTTAGCTTCCAAAATACGCAGTAAAGCACATGATATTAATACAAAATTCAACAATTTTATACATTTATAGGCTGGAATTACTTATAAATACCTCGTATTAGTATATATATATATATTGAAAGTCAAAGAATATTAATTAATTTGTACAAAAATATTTTACTATTTCAATTATAAGTCGAGGACTGATATACGCATATAAGTAGAGAGAAATCCATTGCAGACACAATTACGCGGAAACCTAAACAATATATAATCGCGTTTAATTATTTTAATTCAAAATTTTATTGAAGTCCAGAGGACTTACGTGGGTGGCCTGGTGAGTTCTCCTGCAACTTCTTTCTGCTACTACTACTACTATTACATGTAATTCAACTGATAAACTTCTAATTGATAAATTGTTCTATCAATTAAATTATTTCTTTAATTTTCAAATTATGGAAACTACATTTACATACGCAATCCAGCTTATAAATTTCTAATTGCTGAGTTGTTCTATCAATTACAGTATTACCTTAATTTTCGAATTATACATACGGTATGTACACGTAATTAAGCTTATTAATTTCTGATTGCTGAACTGTAAAATATTGCGTTGACTTCCAAAATGCAGTAATACGGTATAAATACACAATTCAGCTTTGAGTGTGAGTTGCTGAATTGTGCATTAATACCGTATTGCTGGATTTTGGAAGTTAAAGATACGGTATTTTTTGCGATTCCAAAGTTAGAGAAACAAATGCGAGATTATATGAATTAAATTTAATTTATTTTCAACTTGGAAATACTAAATTTTTTACTTTAAATAAACTCGCTAAATTTTTCACCTTCACTATCATCATTTAGTTGCCAAAATATTATATTTCTTTTCTTGTTATATTGTCGTTTTTCCTTTTGCGAGAACAATATAAAAAATCTGGGAAGATCAGCTTATAACCGCAATGTATATTGTCTATTTAATTAAGAGTGTTACAGAATATTATAAAAATGCCTGTTAAAGTAAGCTTTTAGTTAAAATATCTAGAAAAATATCAATTTGGTTCTTAGTAGAGTTTCGCTTTGTGCCATCTGAATTCCTTGAAATGCTCGCAGTTAGCTTCGGTAACAACCAAAACTCAAATATAAAATTTCAAAAAAAAACCATCAATTAGTTCCATAGATATGATAAAAAATGTAAATATGGCCCTCAGTTCGGTTTCCGAACCCTGTTCGTTCCAAAAAGTTTATATATTCATAGTTTTAAACACGTTGAATTTAATTAATTAATTTCAACAATATTGATTGATTATTTCTCTTTATATACGCAAAAATTGCAAAATTAAGTTCCCAAGGCCTGATATATCCCAAAAGTTGGCCTAGGAAACTACACTTTTTAGCGGTCCTGTTTTACATTTTTGATCATTATGAAGAAAATATTCAGCAGCTTTTCTTTAAATTTCATATATAAGCTTCACTCGTTCAACCGCGAAATCTCCTAACATTTGGAAGAAATCAGGCATCAGCAACTGGACGTTTACTACGGTCTAAATATACATTTTTGACTATATAAAGAGAAATAATCAACCGATTTCATTGCAATTTAATATTTAAATTCGAGGTATTAAAGCAATTAATCTATAAATTTTTGGAAAAAATCAGGGCTCGGAAACTGATCTGGGGCCGATTTTACATTTTTTACCATATCTATGGAACGTATTGACAGAATTTCTCGAAATTTGATATATGAATTCTGGCTGTTACCGAAACTAACTGACGAGCATTTCAGTGAATTCGGGTAGCACAAAGCGGAACTCTACTAACAGCCAAGTTTACATTTTTCTAAGTATGTTAACTATAAGCTTAGTAATGCCCTAAAAATTGGAAAGAAGTACTTAACAGGCATTTTTGTAGACAATCCACATTGCGGTCGGTTATGTGCTGACCACATCAGATTTTTTTTAATTATTTTTTATTTGATTTTTTCATTTTCTTTTGCATTTTTCCTCTTTTTCTCTTAAAATTATTTTGCAGTTTTGTCACTCCCTCTCTCCCAGTTAATTTAATGTTTGTTTTTAATAAACTTATAGTATACAGTGAGTACCAAAATTAAAATTATAATAATTTATAACAAGATTTTACATATGTAGATAGTATAACAAAAATTCAATTATTAAATATTTCATTTTTTTCAATATAACAAAATATTTAGAAAAGAAATTTTTTTGACTTACCATTGAAACCGGTAAACCTCCTGCCGCCCCATTTGTGTAAGAATAAGGAGAAACTAAGTAACCCATATTAAAACTAGACGCATGAGATTCAACTTTACCTTTAAAGAATTTGAAAAAAATAGAAAAAATTAAAAATTAATTTTTTGTTTTTTTTTTTATTAGAAATAAAAATTATATTAAAACTTACCAAAAACAGGACTAGGTTCCGATCTTGATGAAAGTTTCCCACTTTTCTCCTTGAAAAGAGATGAAAAAAAATTTTTTTAATTTTTGTAGAAAAAACAATGTTCATATTGGGGAGGAAGACCTCGAGTGTGTCTAAGTTAATATAGTTTTGGTAAATGGTTAAAGAAAATCAGATTTACAAAATTCTATCCAAAAAACAGCTTCGAAGATTTTGAAATTAGAGCGAATTATATTTTACAGTCTTCATTTTATATATTGCTAATGAATTAAAATTTAATTAAAATTTACAATAACAGAAACATGATTCATGGCTTGATGTGCAAAATTGTGCACTTACCCCAGGATGATTGTATATCTTTGATTTATAAGTACCTTGTACTTACATTTAAAACTTCAAAAATTTCTGCAATAATGAAAAATAACTTTCGAAATTGTATGACAGCTATCATAATCATTCATGATATCTTAACAACTTTTATCGAATATAGCTGCCATTTTACCACATTATTTTGGGTACTGTAGGTTGAACACTTTTTTAAGATATAGCCAAATATCTTTTCAGGTTGTAGCTACTAGAAGGAGCCAAGCAATTTTCACGATTTCCATCACACACAATGGCCTTAATGATATATTCGTTTATACGAAATTTCAATAGCCTGCCTTCTATATTTTCTGAGATATAGCCAAATTAATTTTCAAGTTGTGTGGCAGCTACCCGAACCAGTACCTTTATCATATCCAATTTAAACAATGTTCGGGAACTTACAATAATAAATTATTTAGCGAAATTAGCTCAATTAGTGTTTAAGTCATAGCATTTTTCACAAATTGCATACCTTTAGGATGAGGAATGTTGAATACATAGCGTTACAAACGGTAAGACAAATTTATAATACCCTATCGCACAAACTTTCGTACGGATATAATTGAAAATATAAAAAAAAAATTTTAACTGAATTTTAGAATTCGTCATCAGACTACAATTATAAGCTACAATTTATTTTTCATACATATATAAAGATTTTCGTATAATTTTCGTTTGAACAATATATTTCTTACATGTAATACACAAATTGTGTATTGCCTAGATTTACGATAAAAAGAAATAACGTACACAAAAGAAAAAAAAAAGAAAAGGGATAAGAGTTCTCTATTCTCATACATCCTATGAATATCGCATTCGTAGAATCGTATCGTATAAAGTTCAAATTGGAATATTAAAAAATTCATTCACGAATTGAATAAGCCTAATACGCAATAAAAGCCGTTACATATTAATCATTCTTAAAAATGTTACAAAAATTTTCTGTAAACTAAATTAAATCAGCGAAGAAATATAATTCGTGATTAATGAAATAAAGTTGTACTCAAAGATGAGAACTGAGTAAATTTTTTTTACTTTCTTCTTTTACTTATAAGTTTAAGTTACTTTAGTAAACTTTAACTTAAGTAATCAAAAAAGTTTTACAGAACTTTTCTCAAAAAATATTGTTTAAAAAAAAATCATACACCCTATGTGAGAACTCGGAAGTCTGGGGTAGTTTTGGAGGTTTAAAAAAATTGGATTTATCCGACGAAAATCCATTATAGCTTCGAAGCTTGAAACTAAAGCAGAGTTGTTTTTGGAAACTTTTTTATGAATTACATAAATTTTCACAATAAAGTGGTGAAAGTAAATGTAACGCATTGGAAAAAAATTACATTTAGGTGAAACCAATGGTTTTTAATTTAGCACTTTTCCCTTCAACAAGTGAAAATACTGCTTATAAAAACAATATAGGTATGTACTTTATTATTAAAATTAATTTCAATAATATACGAACATTTTTCACAAATTGCATACCTTTAGGATGAGCAATGTTGAATTGCAATAAATTTGAAAAAAATTGAAAGAGGCGTTAAAATAATGCTCGAATTTAAGGGTTAATTGCGAGTTAAGAAACATAATTATATTTCTTTTATTGGCACGGCATTTACCGTTAGCTTTCTGCATTTATAGAAACTTAGAAAAGCTTACAGTTTCGGAAATATAAGGTACCAAAAATTCGTATTTTACAAATTTCGAGAGGCGACAACTTAAGAGAGGATAGAGGTTGAAAAAAATTTTCTTCTAATGAAATGAACTAGTTATTAGTGTCTAAAAGCTGCTTACATTTCAGACTTGTACAATCTGGGGTGTAGAAAAAAACGACATAAAAAATTTGGGAAAAAACGGATTTTAGATCACGATAAATTTGAACGAGCACTTTCTTTTTTTAAAATTGAAATATCTTATCCCGCGGTAGAAGAAGCAACCCATTTTCACTTTTAGGATTTTTGGAGGGTACAACTTTTTCCGGGGGGGGGGGGGGGGGATGGGGGGGATATTAATCTATGTACATATAAAATTTCCGCTTTCTTCAAGGGTGTAGAAATTTTGTACTCGTAAGCATTTCCATGGACGGACGGGCGGCAAAAAACTTTTTCAGCTCTACCAAATTTTATTATTAAACTATTAAATTAACTTCGCCGGTTGACATATTGTTGAAATTTTACTTTAAGCATTTAATAAAAATAAATTTCAACACCAATGATTTTGCTTTTTTGTTGGATAAGTTAGAAATGTCAAATTCGAACTACCAAAAATAATTTGTTGCAATAAAGCATGCCATCAATCCCGGTTTTATGCAAAATTTTGTATACGAAAGTTGATATGCAAAAGTGTTTTTTTTTTTATCATTAATTAATTGTTACCGGTTGGTTGGTTGATAACCGTATCAAATGCATTTAATATTATCAATTACACCTATATAATTTGTAACAAAAAAGAGCATTCTATTTATTCATTATTATAGGAAGAGCTTTTTTAAGCTTTAAATTTAAAATAATAATGTAAATAAAAATTTGTAAAATACTGTAAATTACATGAATTCACCTGAAAAATTGAAAAATTCGAATACCGCAAAAATTTTTATAAATGTAATCATAAAATGAATATGAATATGGAGCAATTAAATTAAATTTTATCATTATCTACTTCATTCCTAAACTACTTACCTCACTTTCAGTTAAATCTATCAAACTAGATTTTTCTTCTAATAAATTTTCGGATGAAATTTTTTCATCTTCACGATCACCTTCATCTTTAAATATTTTAACTTCATCAGTGCTGCCTAAATCATCACCAGATGATCCAGTATGTGAATTATGACTAGTACTTATTGATATATCGTTATGTTTCATATTGAATCAAAAATAATTCAAAAAATAATATTATTTTTTGTTTGTTTTTTTTTTTTGGATTTTGATTTCGTTTTCTTATCTCTTATTTTTTATAATATTTTTCTGTTTTGTTTTATAAAAAATATTTTGATTTTTATTTTGATTTTTAATTAAAAAATTTTTTAAATTTAATTTTTTTTTTTTTTTGTAAATTTTAATTAATTTTTAAATAATAAAAATATTAAATATAAGGCCTCCATACTAAAATTAGTAAGGTAAAATTACTATTCTCCTAAAGAATTTCTGTCAAAGGATCATGTTTTTTCAAAAGCTTACCGAAAAGTATAAAAAACATTACCGTTTTCGCAACTTTTAAAAGGGAAGTTAATTAATATTTAATGACAAGAGAACACTTAAATAATATTGTTTAGCGCTGTATCAATGTATGTTTTATGTTTATAACATTATTTTACAATATAATTATAATATATAGGTAGATTTACATGTATATGTATATGTTTATCAGCTTTATACGTGCTTTAATTATCATTAGCTTTACTTTTTTTGAATTATTATCAATTACTGAAATTTTACTATGAAGTAAAGAAAAACGTGGATTGTATCCGAATTATTTAAATTGGAAGTATTATGACTATTGTAAATTGAATCATATTGAGTAATTACCTAGAATTTTTTTCTGTAATGCCAAAAAGGCGATAAAACGACAAATATAATTACTATCGTTAGATTTTATGAAACAAAAATTAAAAAAAAAATAAAAAAAAACATGTATATATATAATATATATATATCTAAACATCTATGTGTATATGTATCTTCTTCTAATTTTTTGGTTGTTGTTTTGTTTTTATTATTTTTGATTAAATTTGTTTTTTTTAATTAAAAAATTAAAAATTCAAGGGGGGGAAGGGGGCGGGGGGTGACATGTAGATATACTCGTTTTCGAGCTACAGCCTATTGAAAGAAAAAGGTAGCAGATTTTTCTGCATATAAATAAATGCTTATAACTGCGGAAGTATACAACAAAAAAGCAATAATCGAAAGCTTGTTTTCCAAGCAATTGATCACTCCTACTTTCGGTCTTTTAATAAATTTGATCTGAGTCATAGTTTTTTGATCTGAGGCATACAACTTCTTGTCAAAGTCAGAAATTTTTTTTTTGTTTTTTTTTTTTTATTTAAATTTTGTTTTTAAAATCTTTATTGTTAAAAACTTTTGTTTTGCCCCCCCCCCCCCCTTTGAAACCAAATTTATCAAGAATTTTGAACCGGTTTTCTTACACAATTATACTTTAAAGAAGAGACTACACTCTTAAATATTATTAAAATTAAGAAAATTAAATAGAAAATTCAAAAGATTTCAAAAAATAACTACTTTTTTTAAATTACATAAATTACGAGTATAAACCTACATACGTATAAGATCTATCTATATACTAATTAAATTAACAGAGATCCAAATCTGCCGTGATTCAAAATGAATGAGTAACACGAAGTCTATACAATTTATATTGTAATACAATAAATATTGTAAAAATGTTGCGCCTTTAATCCTTATACTAGGCTGTACTTGTTCAAATTATAGCGTTCATATATAAAAAATTATTATCGTATTACTATGGGGTTTAATTAACGTTATATGTTTTCAAATTGAAAACAAATCGTATCGTTCATTAACCGTTGTTGCTTATTTATTGATTTTCCGGAAATGGCAAAATTTTTTTTAGCCCGCCCTTTCTAATATTTTATAGTGGCGTTTCGTGCACACGATATACACAGATTTTTTTTTAAACGTATATAGTTACACTGCTATATATATATATATATATATATACATGTTTTTTATATTTTACATAAACATATATATGTATATGAATATATGTGTTTTTTATATTTTATTAAAAAAAAAAACTAAAATGATTTTGGTCTATTAGTTATTATTCTCCAAAATTACATCTATGAAAATCCAAAATATAAAAAAATAAATGAAAATAATTCTTTCCCGGAAAACTTTTTTTTTCAATCAATTAAAATTAGTATCGAATGGATACATTTTGGAGAGGGAAGGGGAGAATTTGATTTTTTTTTTTTTTGGTCAATTTACCACTACAACTCGATAACTCCATTTTTTTTTTTGTTCATATAGTAAAAATTTCATGAAATTGTGAAATTTTCGAGATATCGGGTTGTTTTTGAGTGGAAAATTTCTACCCAAACATGGTCTATCGATTATGTGTTTTAATAATTTACATATTTTTTTTTTAATTTTTATTTCTTAATTAAATGCAATTCTTAATTTTTCTTGTAAGAATATATTTTACAAAAAAATAAGGTGCATAATCGATAATGTAAAATGCGGGTTGAATTCTTTTCCAGCATAATTCAATTAACAAAAAAGTAATATGACAACTTTTAGTGTTCGTTAGCAGCGGTCTACATTTGTATACAGCGTAAACCGATAATTAATTTTGCACCGGTATCATATTGTTAATTTTGTTTTTGTAGTTTTGTTAATAAACAATGAATTTCAATAGCGCTGATATTTTTTTTTGGAATATTTTGAAAAGGACAAGTATAAAATGCAATTTCATACCATAAAAAAATTGTTGCTACAGCATGTGTTGTCAATCTCGGTTGTACGTTAAATTTTGCATACAATTAATTTGTTGCCGGTGGTGAACGTCAGATGTAATTTTTGTTGTCGACTGAGGGCATTTGACATTATCGATTACACCTACATATAATATATTTTTTATATAAATGTAAATACACTATTATTACCGTTTTTTCATTTTTAAGAAATTTATTTGTTAATTTTAAATAAAACTGCATATTGCTGTTCTCTTTTTAATAAATATTAAAAAAAAAAAATATTTTTTTTTTATAAATATAAAGAATTTGTTTTTTTCCTCTCTTCAATAAAAAAAAAAATCATGTTCTATAAATTTTTAATTTATACTCGTATTGTTGATTTATTTTTACTATTTTTTATTTAGTTTTTATTTAATTATTATGTTTTTTTTATTTATTTTAGTTTAAAAACAAAAAAATAAGATTCTAGTATTCCAAGTTGGTAATCAACAGTAAAACACGATTAAAATAATGAGAATGATCATTAAATCAGAAAACAACAGGAAGTTTAGAATGGGATGGAGGGAGTGATTTCAAGTATGAAGTCTTCGATGGATAACAATATGAAAGAGAACAAAAATTTCTTAAGTTCTTCATAATGTACGTGTATAATAATCATTTGCTATCTAATGTTCGTTAACCTTCACTCAAGATCTAAATAATATAGAGACTAAGAGTACCTACCCACCTGGCATTTTAAAATAATATTGGACAATCAAAAAATATTAATGTTCTTCTTGTAGATGTTCTATATATAGATATTTAAAAACCGATGTTTCTTGAAATCATAAATACATACTTCATTGATTTTAATTATAAGTCAACAAAATTAATAGCAACAATTATTGCGAGAGTATTTAGCAGCAATTATTAGAGAATTGAGAGAGTTTTTTAGAATGTTCCCTTTAATATAAGAGGTGTATGACCAATGCATATTGGCATTTTGAATGCAATAATGTATTTTAATTTTGCATTGAGTTTTTAAAAGATGATGTCAAGTGCATTTTTAAATATCTTGCATAATCGCGTTCTAAAAAAGCATTGAAAAATCTTTGAAAAAAAGTTCTAAAGGATTCATTGTTATAGACAACTTTTGTTGTGTGATATATGTATCACATCTATTACGAGTATATTCAACAATTGCCACTGATTCGAATTTTTTAAAATTTTGTTTCATTTTAAATTGTATGTTTCCTAATTGTCCAGAACTATATAAGATCAGAAATTTTGTTTTTTTTTTTTTTTGTCAACGACACACTACACTGTCTAAACAACCGCAACTTAGACATTCGATGTTTACATAGGTCCAAATTTTGGAAATCAAAAATTTGTATAAAATCGACAACTTTCATAAAACTTCTCTTATTTAAATTCTCTAAAAAAGAAATTTATCCGAATAAATTTTAAAATATAAAAAATCCTTTAAGATGTTTAAAGAGAGGAAACATTCATAATTATAATAAAACTAGCATGTTTGAGGGCGCCTGAGGCACCCGTCTTCCGTGTTTAAGGAATCGAATCGAAAGACAAATTTTTTTTAAGGAATTTTTTTTTCTGATAATTTAATCATAAACAACAATACATTGTAGATATATTGCAGCATCTTAAAAAAAAGCAAATAAAAAAAAACTTAGAAGTCCCCGTATCGCAGGAGGAATCCTACAATTTAAAGAAACTAAATAGTTAAAGAAGCATTAAAATTTTAGGTTTTTTCTTCCCTAAACAAATCAAACTTTTCTTTCTAGTTATTTAACTTTAAAAAAGTTGATGTTTCAAAAATGTTCACATTGGAATAAAGTTATTTTTGTGCTCACCGTTGAACATGGGCTGATTCATTTGAACTCAAAGTGTCAAAATATGAATAGAGTATATAATATGTATAAATACACATACATATTTATACAAATATATATAAATATGAATTATACCTTGCCCCTTAGCAATCTAAGTTTAAAACTTGTTTTTGAAATATCTAGGATTAGCTCTCATTGTTGTATACCAAGTATTCGAACCTGACAAACAATTCTCTAGAAACTGCATGAATATGTCTGACCTATAATTGGACACACAACTGCCAAGTTTTATGAGCCTAACTTTATTATTTTTCCAAATATTTAAAATTAGCTTTTGGAAGCTACCCAAACCTGCCAAAACTGACCTTACTTTGGCTAATATGTTATTAATAAGATAATAAAAGTTTTCCAATTTAATTAAATTTATTTTTTAATGAGGGAATAACTACAACACTTTTCGAATTTCAAAATTCAATTAAAAATTTTTTAAGCTTGGTCGTGTTTTACTGTAAATTATCAAAGAATCAAAAATGAGAAAAAAATAAATAAGATTGGTTGGGCCCGCGAAATTTAATTAACAAGAGAAAATGAATTGTGGTAATAAATAGAATTTTTTGCATGTCGCATGATTTATGAAGACAAATAAATAATAAACACTTTAGAATTAAAAAGCTCTCTTTCTCTATCCCTCTCTTTATTTCTATATTCCTTTCTCTTGTATTTTGATATTTGAAAATTCAAAATTAAATATTTTTATTATTTATTTAATTTGCATATTCTTTTGTTTTTATTAATTTTAATAGAAAATTTTAATTTTTAATCATCTATTTAGCATTTTGTTTATTTATATTTAATCATTTTTAATTTTATTAATAAGTTTTAATTATTTTTAATTAATGATCACACACACACATCAACAATTTTTTCAAATAATTCTTCTTCATGTTTTTTTTTGTTTTTTCATTTTATATCTCTTCTTTTTTTCTGCTCTCTGCTCTTCTACTCTTGTTATAAAAAATTGTGTTACCATCTTGGTAGTGTTTTTTTTTAGTTTTATTTTATTTTGATTTTGAATTTGTTTTTATTTATTTTTTATAGTTATTTCGTATAATTTTATCATCGAAGATCTGGAAAAAATAAAAACAAAACAAGAAATTAAAAACAGATATATTAATTTAAAAAATTAATAAGCATCATATGTTTCAAATATGGGGCAAAAACAAAAAAAAAAATCTATAATTAAAATTAGATTATATTTTGTGAAAATTAATCCACATCGGAAAATCTCCTCTAAACCACCGGATGTATGGACAATTAATCTTCTATTTGCGAAGGCTCTACTCTAGCTTGAAAACAGAACCACAGCAGGTGACCCGCAACAGCGAATGATTTTAACCGCTGTAAATTCAAACTAGCAGAGCGAAACGGCAAAATCAACTGTGCAATATTTTGCTCCGCGCACATGGAAAGGCATAATGTCAAAAAACTGCCGACGGTAAAATTCGGAATTAACGCTATTTTATGGCTCTTATTTATGTTTTGAACTTAAGTCGTAAACATTTCCGGACTAAGGAAAAATCGCAATTTCGGTAAGTATAAAATTTTTTAGGCAAAATTTTCAACAAACATCTCTTTTTTTTTAATTTATTTTGTCGTATTACAATTATTATGATAATACGCGTTTTGAAATTTTTCAACAAACAAATGTTCTTAACAAAGAATTCCAATGTTTTTCCAATCATAGGACAATTGAACAGGGATTTGCTTGCTAAGTGTTCATAAATAATAATATCTTTGCTAACATACATAACTTGTTCGAAAACATATGGCTAAATTTACGCAATATAGCGAAATTATTATTACGTGTATTTAGCGCATATGAATTGTTTTGGTTTTATACGTGACGGCATGTTTTTGCAGTATTGCATTTTACATATTTTATTTCGCAGTGTATTACGGTTATGAAAATCTCTATATAGCATTGGGCAATCCTTATAGAATCATTAACAATTTTGTCTATAAATATACATAAGTATATGTATAATATATACATACATATGTATATGTGGTTGGATGTAGTGCTGTTTTATATTTTGTTAAAAAAATGCAATGGCTGAAAAGGAAAACCTTATATTTTTACCGACCGCATTGTGTATACAATAGGTAGGTTATGTGATGGCAACAAATTTTGCATATCGATTGCTTGGTGGGAACGCACTTCTTCATGGTAGGGAAGTATAAATTAACTATTTTTAGCAACCTGTCGATCTGTCGGTCTGTCTGCCTGTGTGTGAACGCGTATATCTCAAGTTCGACTGAACTAATTTTGATGAAATTTTATATGTAAGTTTATTTTGACTATGGCATGGATTAGTCAACTTTTGGAATATATCAGACCTCGGGAACTGCACTTTTTAACAGGCCTGTTTTACATTTTTGATCAAATAAAGAAAATATTTTTTGATCAAATAAAGAAAATATTCAACAGATTTACTTGAAATTTTATATATGTATAAGCTTCATTCGACCATACGAGAAACCTTCTATCTTTTGGAAGATATGAGGCGTCAGTAACTAGACGTTTACTACGGGCCAAATATTCATTTTGGCGTATATAAAAAGAAATAATCAACCGATTTCATTGAAATTGAATAATTAAACTCAAGATGTTAAAACAATAAATCTGTTAATCTTTTGAGAAGATCAGGGCTCAGAAACTAATCTGAGGGCCGATTTTACATTTCTTACCATATCTACGGAACGAATTGATGGAATTTCTCGAAATTTGATATATGAATTCTGGCTGTTACCGAAACTAGCTGACGAGCTCATGACATTTCAGTGAATTCGGGTAGCACAAAGTGGATCCCTACTAATAGCGAAGTTATATTTTTCTAGGTATGTTAACTATAAGCTTACTAATACCCTAAAAATTAGAAAGAAGTATTTAACAGGCATTTTTGTAATATTCTATAATACCTTCACTTAACTAGACAATACGCATTGAAGTCGGTTATGTGCTGACCAGATCAAATTTTTTTTGTTGTTATTTATTTTTATATATGTATTTATTTTTTTATTATTTTTGCATTTTTTAATTAAATAAATTTTTTTCAAGAAAGTTTTAAAGCTTAACGTATGTACCGTAATATTTTTGTTTTTGTTTCTTTATATACATACATATGTGTGTATTGTGTGTATATGAAAAAATCTCATAGAATTCATGGATTTTTTTTACTTATACATAAACAAAAACAGAATAATATCTATGCATATATGCACATCCATACATATATATATACATACATAATGTATTTTAGTTAGTCATAAATTTTGAATCTGCATATACATATATGTAGTATGTGTGTGTGCTACAACTGTTACGCGTGTAGTGCTCATAAAAAATGTGCAGTTAATCGTGAAAACTACAAAAAAAAATTAAGAAAATAAAAGAATTTTTCTCAAAATGAAACCTTGTGCACACACACAGCCACACACATTTAGCGCAAATCCATGCGTATTCATGTTTATATATATATATATATAATCATTATATGATTGAGATATTTTTTTAAGGATAATAGAGATGTTGGCCTTTTTTCCCTTGTTTCTTGTTTCTTCTTCTGTGTTTTTCTCTGCATTCGTTTTCTTCCTCCTTCGTTCTTTCTTTTATATTAATATGTATGGGTATATGTATATATTTATATATATAGGGCTGTGTAGTATAGTTGTTGACGGGTTATTTCCATGTTTTTTTTAAAGAACTATATTCTGCGCATACACCACATAAAAACTCTTATGTTTGTAATATTTTGTATGAAAATATTGTTATAAGAATACATATAAGAAGGATTTACACTATATATTATACATAAATAACATGAATACATACCACATACACATAAATATATATAGAATAAGCCCGATATGACGACGTTTCCCTCTACATGCAGTCATCATAACCTGTCTATATGTGTGTTTATATGTACACATCTAAGGATGGGAATTTTTATATTGTTATTTATTTATGTATAGAGTCTATAAACAAGTGTAATTAATAACAAGTAAAAGCGTTTCAGTCGGTATAAACCGACAGAATAATACCCTGTCGAGTTTCATAAACCTACCCTTAATATTTTTCCAAATATTTAAAATTTTCTTTTGGAGTTGTATGACAACTACCCGAACCTATTAAATCTTACGACTTCCAAATTTCATGATTTTTGCTCCATTATTTTTTCGAATATTTTAAACTAGCTTTTGGAGCTCTATGATAGTTACCAGAACCTGTCAAGCCATTCGACAAATAATTTCAGAGTTATGTCTGATCTAGAATTGGACACACGATTGCAGAGTGTCATGAATCTAGCTTCATTGTTTTTCCAAATATTTAACATTAACTTTCGAAGTTGTATGGCAGCTACCCTAACCAGTGCAGTCGTTCTATTAAGATCTTCAGAATATACATAGGTAGAACATAATTGCACACACCTTTACAAAATTTAATATTAATACCTTTATTCACGAAGGTAGCTGCAGGATATAAAAAAAAGTATATATATATATATATATATAGGATGGCATTATTGTTCGTCGTATCTTTTATTAATGCATGTACATTGTGTCTATCAGCGAGAGTATACTTTAAAAGACGCAAATATTATTTGCGCGTAATTTAAAAAAAAAAAACTGATTTAATTTCTTTTTCTTTTAGTTCTTAAATTTTTTTTATTACAAAAATTGGCCACTTTATGTACATATATTGTTTTGCTATTACTCCCGACCAAAAGACCCCCATATGGGTGGGTCATTTTACGAGCTATAGTAACTATAGTTATAGACTCGAATTTGAATCTTCAACTCACTATAATATTTTGAACATTTTTAAAATATTAAAAAAACTTTCAGCCCATATGTTTAAGAGTACTGTCAATCAGTACGTCGATACCCTACATCTTTACTGATGATGGTATACTATTCCCAGTAGCACTAATTCTCTATTTTGGGAATAAAATTTCGTGTGTACAAAAATGTATACGATAGTATAAAGATATATAGTATCGTAAACTTTTGATTAATAGGACGTGATTATAAAGCTTTATAACTAACCCCTTATAAGTAATTTACATTTCTTTTAAAGGCTATACTCAATTTCAGGAATTGAGACAGCATGCTTCAAATTTAAGTTTCTTTTATGCGTCTTTATACTGTAAGTATATTTCTGTAATTAATAAAATTTTTCCTAAATCTATACAAAATTATACTTGTGACAATATTATTTATTTATTTATTTAATTTCAGACAATATCTATAAAATTGTGTATAAGAAATTAAAATCTGCAAACCAATCTTAAGAACTAATTTTACTAAGACACACGTTCATTCTGCATACATTAATTTCTTAAATTCTTTAAATATTTTTTAAGCCTAATTTTGAAATCATTTAAATTTTTACAATTCCTTATTTGATTTGATTTGACTGCATTTTTAACTATATAATTTCATAGTTGAAATCGCTCTAGGCACCAATAAATGTCCTCTTGCCTTGCTTACAGATTTACTTGAAATTTCATATATAAGAGTACGCAGAGCCTCCTAACTTTTGGAAGAAATAAGGTGTCAGCAACTAGAGGCTTACTACGGGCCAAATATACATTTTTAAGTATATAAAGAGAAATAATCAACCGATTTCCTCGAAATTTAACAATTAAATTCGGGGTGTCAAAACAATGAATCTATAAATTTATTGAAAAGATCAGGGCTCGGAATATCTTAAAATTCGAGTTTTTGTTGCTACTGAAACTAGCTAGTAAACTTTTCAGGGGATTCCGATGGCACAAAGTGAAATTCTACTAAAAACCAAATTTACACTTTTCTAGCTATGTTAACTAAATATCGCAGGGAAAGAAGTTCGCAAGCTTTTAATTAACATGCCTAGAAAAATGTAAATTAAAAGGAAGCGTTCAGGAAAATACAATATATCTTTGACATCGATATTGTACAGTAATGCTAATCTTGACTTCAAATTTGCAAAAATAAAGTATTAATACATAATTCAGTAGTTAAAATTCATAAGCTGAATTTTGATACCAAAATATACAAACCAACAATTACTATTCATAAACTA